TGGGGGTAGGGAGCGAGGTCACTTTGCCCTGAAGAAAAATTGGGGTTTGTTCGCAAGGGGTCTCTGCCTTTCTGCTGCTAGAGAGAGGTCACATTCGCTTCTCAAAGGGTTTCAGCCAAAATCCTGCCCTGACTCTAATCCGCTCTCCCGGGGGGGGGGGGGGTTGCCCACATCCTAGCCCCAAACTGGGCATTCCAGGCCAGAGAATTTGGGTGATGTGGAAAACTCCAAGGCAGAAATGTCAGAAATAATTAAACCAAACGATGGGTTAAACCCCTGTAGAAATCAGCACATCCGGTTTAATCACCTTCTTAAGCTGGCACAAGACTGCAATTCTGTGGAGGGGTTCTTTATTTCTTTGGATCGTTAACAGGAACTGCATATCTTGAGCTTGATTTGGGTTCCGATGCTCCTGGGGAGAGGTGAGGAGGACAGGGTTGGAGGGAGAGACTCAGGAAAGAAAAAGGAAATAAGAAACGTGTGAGACCATCCTCTCTCTCTCTCTCTCTCTCTCTCTCTCTCCAGCCTTGGCTCTGTCCGCTCTCATGGCGAACCTGCCCGCCCTCCTGGCACCCAGGCAGGCAAGAGGCACAGTGCTGAATGTGCTAAATTAGGCCATTAGAGAAATTCATTTCTCTTTATTAGTCTGTGTCAAATCCTTTTTATTAGTGGCTGGAAACGACCTCTCTTCTGCAGTAAAATGTCATGCCAGTTCACTCCTTTTATTTGTTCTGCACTGACGAGGCTCAAACTCTCCCTGAATCAGTGCAGCAAGATTTATTTCCTCCAAATTTTGAACGGCTTAAGAGAGATTGGGGTGGAGGGGACGGTCAGGTGGGAGGCGACACAGGAGAAGAAGAGCAGGAAAAGATCAGGGAGGGAGAAGGTAAGCTCTTGTGGAGGTCAAATGCCCTTGGCTCTTGGGAAAAAAGTCTAATGGCCACCTCTCATATCTGGTTCATCATGGTCTGGGACTGGATTTCTAGCCTCTAGAGGGTCTAGATGCACAATGGGAGAGATCAGGACAGTAGGAGTGGGGAGGGGCTCCTGAAGAACCATGTTCTAGTTGGACAAACTGATGCTGAGGAAGCCCAAGAATAACAGAACCAGTATCCCCCCTCTAACAGAAAATGCTTCTTCCAGGTAGCCACGGTCCCTGTGCTATTCATCCTACCCCAACCCCAAGCCTGCAACTTTGGCTGCTGGAAAGGACTCCTTGAGGGTGACTTCCAGCCTCCTTTCCAGGCATATGGAGGTGGCTTAGAAATATAGGTCAACCCTTAGGCAGGCATAGGCTGGGTAGCTGGGACTGGCCAGGGGACAGTTGTAGAGAAACGCATGGCATGACTGCCACTGAGGAGCCCAATGGAGTCCTTGGGAAGCAGCCTGTTTCTCAGGTGATGATGTGGGGTGTCTCAGAGGCCCCCAGGCTTGAGGTAACAGGCAGCAGCCATAGTCCAAGTTTATTGGGGATCCAGACAGAGCTTGGGAGCCATAGGTAAGCCCCTGACCCTGGATCTGGCTCACATGAAAAGCTGCAGGTAAGCTCAGGCACCATCTGAGCTCCTGGACTCAAGGGTCCAGATATCAGCATAGGTGGAAGCAAAGGCAGGAGACTGGGGAGGGTATGATATGAGGAGGCAGGGTTTGGAAGCTGCTGGTGTGTTTCAGGTGAGGAGGGACTGGAGCACATTTCAGGTGAGGGGGAGTTGGAGGAGGTGGCTATGTAAGCATCCATGAAGTCTGCTCTGTGCTCCAGGGACCGTGAGTAAACTTGAGGAGAAAGAAATCCGAGAGACAGTAGAAGTCATAGAAAATACCCCCATGTGCTCTGCACACACATATCCATCTCGGATCTGATACCTGAGGTGATAGGTTTATAAAAGGGACCCTTGCTATGGTTCTGCTAGGTGGGTGCACTCTGTTCCCCAGTTAGGTGACAGCGCTTCCCATGCACCCCCAGCCCCTGAAAGCCCAGCTCTGAGTCCTATCATCAGGTTTCCTGCTCACCTCTGCAACCTCATCTCCATCCATTTCCCTCCTGTCTTCATCTGGTTTGGATTTTGTTCCAGAAATGTGTCAAGCCCATCCCTATCACAGGTGCTTTGCTTTTTCTCTGCTTGGCAGTTCGTCCCTCAGATCTTTGCATGGCTGCCTCATCATCATTCAAGGCTTAACTTAAATGTCACCTCCTCAGAGAGGCCCTCCCTGACTACTCTAAGTGAAGTTTCTCCCAGCAGATAAAGGACAATCACAGAAGCGACCAGCCTCCGCTCCCCCACCCCAACTCTAGAGCTAGTAGCTACAATACTTGGTCCAGAGCAGATCCCTCTTCCTCCACGCCACACACTACTCATGCTTTGTACACAAAACACACAATCACACAATAAGTTTACAGAGATCTGCACACCAGTTCTGGACCCATAACCCATATGTGCGTATGGACAGCAGATAGAACCCCGCATGTGCTCACATAGTAACACACAGGACTGATGATCATATAACACTCACACTCTCTTGAGAGCCCTCATTCAACCCAGGTGCACTCTAATGCACACGCACACACACAGACCAGCACCTCTCCACCCAGCAGCCACCACCCACCCTCCCTCCAACCAGCAAGAAAGGCGCAAGCGGTGACCGGCGGCTGCCTGGGGGTTGGGGCGGGGGCTGCACCCCCACCACCTGGCACGATGCTGCGGATTATTAGTTCCTGGTAATTTAGTGCCCTTGTACAGAGTCGATTTGTGCCTTTCATTCCTAATTGATCTAGTGGCTGTTTAAATGGCAGCAGGCATCTGTTGAGAGTAGGAAGGTTCATAAGGCGCAATAATTCATAACACCGTCTGGAATTTGCCTTTCATGTCCCTCAGCTAAACCACTGCAGGGCTCTGCTTAAATTACAGCCACTGAGGCTTTCTTTGGTATTCCACTCAGGGCCAGGAGAATCTTGCATTAAACTGGGATCAGGTTAGATTAGACTATAATATGCTTCGGTATTAGTTGCTGCAAATGAAGACTTAGACTGGAGTTTAACCCCTTCACCTGATTTTCTCTTTGTCTTCAGCCCGATGGCTAAGCTAACCCATTGTTTTCCCTAACAGGGCAGAAGAGTTCTTCTGACAATTTGGGGCTGCAGATGGGAGACCCTTAGATATTAGCAGTGTAGGTGTGTGTGCATGGGGAGCCCTGTAACCCAGCCTGCAGCCTTGGGGCCCAGCTGTTTCTGCACTCGCTCCCAAATAAGGGTTGGGAGATAGTGTTTGGGGCAGCCTCTGCCCAGCCAAGCAGCACCTCTGAAGCCAGAATTTATACCCCGTCTCCCCGTTCATCCCCTGAGACTGAGTAGAATGAGCTGCAGAGTTTGAGTGTAAATGGAACAGAGCACCTCCTGTCTATCTGCCTAGAATTATTAGAGTTCCAGAATGGGGCATACCTCCTTGCAGGGATTTCCCATCTACGTACATACACAGGAAGATGGTCCTTCTCTTGCTGTGTCCAATCACAGTATGCTGGAGAAAAAAACTCATGGTCTCTCTTTCTTTTCAAAACTTACTGTGCTTTCCAATATGGTGGCCACTAACCATAGGTGGCTACTTAAATGAATAGGAATTAAACTTTAAAATTCAGCATCCTAGACCCAAGAGTCATATTTCAAGTGCTTGTTGGTGCTTGTTGGTCCCTGGTAGTAAGTGGCTACCATATTGACAGCGGAGATTGTGTTCCATCACTGCAGAAAGTTCTATTGGGTAATGCAGGTAGAGACCTAGGGGTCAGGCTCAACACATTTACTTCTTCCTCTCCCAGCAAGGAGGGCTTAATCAGAAAATGAGAAAGACCAGGAAGGGATGTGCAGAGGCTCTTAGGAACCACAGCGGAAGGGACTGGGCCTCCAGACTCCAGTGTCAACCACCCATGCCAACACATGAACACGTGCTGGGTGTTCACACATGCTGCAGAAAATAAGAATGATATGCATGTGTGCATGCAAATAGGTGCACACACATAGCATATATATTTGATAATGGACAGTGATGACAAAAGTAGGCTTGATTCCTGCCCTCATACAGTTCACGATCCAGTGGGGAAGGCAGGTGATAAAGCAAACAATTCACAGAGCTGTCAGCTTTGGTTGGAGGGGCAGGGCAGTCAAGGAAGCTTCCCAGTTAATGACATCTAAGCTGAGACCCAGAGAGCCATTCAGGTAGGCACTTCAGCTTCCACAATACATCATAGGACCATACCCACACACCCTCACACACGCACACTCTTCATTCACTGAGTCATTGTCAGTCACTGAGTGTTTCTTAAGTGCCTGCTGTGAACATGCAGGGCCAGATCCTAAGGATACAGTGATCATTAATATAGGGGCAGTCTTGGAGGAAACAGCGAGCGCATAGCAATGCAAATAATCACTTCATTACGGTCGTGCTAAGTGCATGATGATGGAAAAGTGCAGGGAGATGGTGCATGTGTAACTGGGGTATCTGACCTAAACCAAGTCAACCAACAGGCACAGCAGGAAGAGACATCTGCCCACTGTGTGGGGATGAGAATTCATCAGGCTCACTCGTACATTTGCCCCTGCACACATGCACACACGCCCAAGTACTGCCCTCCCTCACCTGTCTTCAGACAGCCATGTATAGGCCTTATTCAGCACATTCCTAGACACCACCCACATTTTCTTCCCGGGCTGACCTTCAGCCAAAATTGGACACCTATTTCTTCATCTCTCACCAAATATCCATGCAGCTGATCTGACCAAAGTGGCAATTTAGGCACCCGGTGGGGAGGCCCCAGGAACTGAATAGTTCTCCAGGCCAGGGCGTGAAATGCTGCCATCTAGGCTGATCATGGGGACTGAGGACATTCTCAAGGAGTGGGACTTTGGGAGAAGACGTGATGGGAATGTGGGGAAGGGTCCCTGGTGGTTTCTGAGCCCGACCAGCTGCAGGTCTCTGTGTGTGCGCATGTGTGAGCTCTTGATGTCCCCGCAGGCACCCTCTTTTCCCGCTCCTGACGCTGCTGTTTGAGAAATGTGAACAGGCCACCCAGGGCTCTGAGTGCATCACCTCCGCCAGCTTTGATGTGGACATCGAGAACTTTGTCCACCAGCAGGAACAGGAGCACAAACCCTTCTTCAGCGATGACCCAGAACTGGACAATCTGGTAAAGACCCTTCAACCCCCACCTTGACTAGGGTGGTCGTACCCACTGATTCCCACTCTAGAAATGATCCTTTCATTCATTCAATAAACAATTTTGCATGCCCACCTCCCCGTGGGGCAAGTAATAGACTCGCACTCTGGCAGCTGAGAACTCTAAGTCTCTTAAACCAGGAGTTGCATGTACAGATCCTGCTGCCAAAGGCTCCCCTTCTCTGCCCACCCAGCCACTGCATCTCACTCAGCCCCCACCTGCAGTGCAGACAGGAGGAAAGAAGCAGCATAGAAGCCAGAACATCAGGGTAACAATTCTAAGGACTGCCATCCTGGCATTTTTTTTTAAGATTTATTTATTTATGCATACAAGAACTGGGGTATAGGCAGGAGGTGTGGGGGGTGAGAGGATTCACCAGAGACAGAGTGGGGAGCAGAGCAGGCAGATTAACTGAAATACACTGCTGAGGGGAGCAGCTGGCGAGACTGGAGAAGTCTGCTATATTATGTGGGTCACCTCCCTGGCAGGGAATCAAATTCGTAGCTGCGGATAGCTTCGTAGTGCTGCGTCTTAACCACTTTCACCACCAGGGAAGCTCCTGTCCTGGCATATTAGTGAAGCTGTCATGGGCCTGTCAGCTGCTGAGAGAAGCTGATGACTGGGGTGCTCCAGGGTAGGGAAGAAGGGTGAAAGGCATACTCAAGCACTTCAATAAAAAGGCCTGGAGACACAGTCACATTGGGAGAAAGACCAGCAGAGGTCCTGCCCAGTTAAGGAAATGAAATAGCTCAGACTCCCCAACCTAGCTTGTCATCCAAATCATCATGGCAGTTTAAAAATACACATTCCTGGAAAGTATGGGAATCCTGGAAATTATGATTCAGTAAGTTTGGTGGACCCTGTGAATCCACATTTTTAAAAGTTTCCCTGGGTACTTGCAATCCTCAATGAAATCAGGTAATCACTGGGCAGAGAGGACATTGGAAATTCTCCTGTAGCCCTGAGAATTCTACAGAGGTGCAAGGGGCGGGAGGCTGCCCTTTTCATTCATCACAATAAATTCCAGACATCGTGGAATTATTAACCATAATTCTTGATTTTTCTGTGGGTGGGTTACTCAGATTTTAGAGTGACTCTGGAAATTCTGCACAGCTCTCTCCCACAAATGGATAGATCAAAGCCCTGCCCTCTTGGATCCTGAGGTTAGCAGGTACCTACTCCCAAAAGGAATCAGAAAAGCAAACGTGGCTCTGAAAAGGAAGGAAAGACACATGTGCTCACACGCATGTGCTCACACACACACAAGCACGCAGGCAAAGGCACATAGGTACACTGCAGAGCAAGTTGTTCTGTGTTGTGAGTTATCTATATGCTGCTTTGCTCAAGAGCTGAATACAGTGCTTTATTGAGTCCAGGAGAGCTGTGAGGAGAGAGCATCCTGGCCTGCATGTGTGAAGTGCTGTGACTGGTGGCAAGCACTTAGAAAGGGAACAGGCCACGGTCAGAGCATATGCACCTGCCTGGCTGCCACCAGGAGTATTGGCATAGAACTTTGAGTGGCCCAGGCCCATCTCTGCTCACCTCTGGCCCCTTCCCTAATTGGGACGGAGCAGCTACACTTCCCGGAAGCCCAGACCCCTGTCTCTCAGGTCTCCTGGGGGAGTTTTCCTGTGCAGGTTCTTAAAATGGTTGAATAGTAAGGGCAGCCTGGTCAACAACTTAAAATCTCAAGCTAGCTATGGCTGCAAATCAGGTGTTTAGAACCTAAGGAACCCTTGGAGTAGGGGATGAGACTGTCATTTCTGTGGGTACCACAATCAGTCTGGGGGTGCGGGTCCACTCACCTTACCTGACACAAAAAGAAACCAAAGCCTAAGTTGGTAGTTAGGAGACACCTAAAATCAGGCTGAGTAAAGTGAAAGAAAATTTAAGCTTTCTTAAGATGCTGGGGTCCGAGGGAAACAGACCTCACCTTCCTTGCCCACCACCACTTGCCAGGAGGGCTATGGGAGCCCACCAGGGACAGCCTCCTAGTCCAGAACAGTCTGGAAGACACCAGAAGGGTGACCAGCTCATGCAGTCTTCTCACCCACACTAACTAGGTCTCTCTGGGTTCTGTGCACCCAAAGAATCAATTTCCTCTGTCAATCCAACAGAACTCAGCTAAGTGTTTGTCTGCTCCGTACTATGCCTGACCTAGGGGGGGTGTGTGTGCGTGTTGAGGAAGCTCCCCAAGGACCCCAGATGTCTGACCTCCCCTGGTCATCTGTCTTAGGCAAATGGGCTTAAAGTGGTCCAGTTGGTGCCTCTGTGCTTGGACTGACGTGGTCCTGATTTGCCCACATGAGTTAGCCACAGTCAGTGGCCCATTGATTAAAACAGAGGCCTTTAAGTAGAGAAAACTGAAGAAGCACTTATAGACCCAAGGACTGAGCCTAGTTTTACTGCCACTTTAATGATTTCACCCTTTTGAAGCTCGGTTTCCTCATCTGTAGACTCATACACCTAGCTCATCTGTAATAATTAAAAAAAAAAATTAATGAGGTGGCTTATGGAACTAAATGGCCTTTTAAAATGCACAGCATCCAGAAGGTTAATCTCAAGTGTAGTATCTCTAGGCCGAGGCATTCCAGCTTCCCATCTTCACCTGCCCCCATCAAAAAACCTGGTGTGACCAGAACCCAGAAACTTTATTTGGGGGGTCAAGAGGTGCCCTTTGCCACCCCACTTGTGTTGGGAGGGGGGAGATAAAGAGGCCAATGCAGGAGCCATCATTAGAACAAGAATCATGTAGCCAGCACAGCCGAGATGCACATAATTAGAAATTAGAAAAAGGTCAGATCGCGTCATTATCAGCTCAATCAGCTGCCGAGTGCCACAGCCAGTTAATTTGGCATCTGTATTTTTTACAACCCCGCACACGTAGCCCAACGGACTGTAACTCTTTATCCGGACAGATATACTGCGCAGCAGAGCAGGGACATAAAATGAGAGACCCCAAGCAAATGAGCTGAGATAATTGAGAGATTTATTTTTTATATATATGTGTGTCAGGGCGGCTTGCCTTTGCCCTTGAATGTTGACTTTCATCGATGGGATTGTCAGGAGGACACCAGGGTCCGCCCAAAACTTTGTCCCACCCTGGACCCCCCATCGCACCCTGACCCTGCTTTCCCGCAAGCCCATGGTCCCCCCCAGGCCCACATTTGAGCATGAATTCTCCCACCTCCAGATGCTGGCCTCCCTCCTCCAAGCGGATTCTCATGTGCTGCCTTCCCATTCCCAGGTCTCTCCCAGACAAGTTCCCATGGGAAGGGCTGCCAGCACTCTCCCAGAGCGGCACAAAGATCAGAGAAGCTTCCAGATTGCAGGACTCCCAGGGAACGTGCCTCCCTGGCTAGCCAGCTGCTCCCATTGCACCCGTGCTGGGAGGAAAACTCAGAATCACACCCAATTGGGGGATGCACAACCACAGAAGCAAGTCCATTTTATAGATGGGGGCACTGAGGTCCAGAGGAGGGAAATGATTTGTCAAGACCCAAACCCAGGCCTGCCGGCTCCTATTAGGTCAGCCTTTTCCCTGCATAGCCCACCGCTCTTCCTCCTGAGGGAAATAAAACTCCTGTTTACAAATAGTACCACCACCATCTCCCCCACACATAGTCCCCCTGCATTTCACTGTAATGGGGGTGGCTTTCCACCAGTACCCCATAATAGCCAAGCTGGCTAGAGCCCCTGGTTAGCTCCCCCAGGGATGCCCTTCACTCCAACTCCCACCCCACCCCTAACCCCTAGTGCTCGCCAGGCCTATTTTTCACCTGGCCCAGCAGCCTCTGACTGGCAGTCTGTAAAGTTTGTAAAATTTGCAAGTTCCCCAAACCCCTTTGAAAGGTAAAAGCTTTTTGTTTTATAAAATCTGATTTACGGGCCCCCAGTGCAGGGCCAAGGTTTTATATATTATGCAAGATTTCAAACCGAGGCTGTAAAACGTACGGTTTCAGTTTCATGCATGGAATTTTTTTATGTGTAAATTTTTTAACATTTATGGGGCACGTTTTAATGAGACTCTGGTGTGGCTCGAGGGACAGATTATGGCTGTCTGACCGCAAAGCCAGCTCCAAAATGGGCCCCCACCCCCTTAGGCCCCTGGGCCCACTCTGAAGAGGCAGGGCCTGAGGCCGGAGGCTCTGAATAAAAAGTCACGGGAAGGAGTCAGCTGAGCTCTGGGCCCACAGAGACCCGGGGCCAACACCATTCAGAGTCATTCACTTCAGCCTACAGTGCAGACTCTGCCCAAAGAGGAGCAGAATATCCTGTGGTAGCCAGGAAAGGGAACGATAAGAAGAATCAATGCCAGGGATAATTAGCATCTGTCCAGCACTTACTAGGTGCCTGGTGCTATTCCAAACACTTTACCTATGTTATCTTATTTAATCCTTTTTCAAACCCACCAGGCAAATATTGTTGTAAGCCCCACTTTAAGATGAGACTATAGAGAGGCAGGTGAAATCACTCGCTTCAAGATCACAAGTTAGGTAAGAGGCAGAGACAGGAGTCCCTGAGTCCTGGAGTCCCAGGGCTACCTCCCAGCAGTTACAATGCTCTGCAGCTAATCTTCTCTTAGCACTTTCTATGTGCCAAGCCTTGTTTTTAGTTCTTTGCTAATCACACCAATGTAATCCTCAGTGCAACTCCAAGGGAGTCACTATTGCGATCTCATTTTGCAGATGAGGAAACTAAAGTGCAAAGATGATCTGAATTGTCCAAAGTCTCCCCATAGGTTCAAGACTCAGCCTACCAATCCCATTGGCTTCATCTCCTGCTTTGCAATTTAATTCTCACAGTAACCCCTTGAGGGAGTGATTATCCTCCCCCTTTTACAGAGGAGGAAATCAAGAGCTAAGAACCCCATGTTCCCCTGTTACAAGGCTGGAATTTGCACCCTGTGAGGCTGCAATACCACCTTCTTCCCTCTGCAGCACGTGACTTCACATTCTGAGGACTACATG